TGCCACCACGGAAAAGTCCTTTTCTCTGGGTCACCATCACCTGTCCTCTGAAAGTCTTGGACTTGTGAAGCAGATGGTAACTGGTGGGCAGCATGGGAGGAGGCAGTCCTTCAAGTATCCTGGCCCCAAGCCCTCTAGAGTCTTCAAGAGAAGAACCATCACATTATGCCTTGAAACAGATGGGCTGCCAGATCACATCTTTCCCCTAAGAAAATTTCACAGCTATTACAACTGATCTCCAGATGACCAAGATCAGTTCTCCTTATGGTAGACTGCTGCATTTTGGCCCAGCTGAAGTTTCCAGGCAGTTTTCAAAGGCAGCCTCACTCAGAGTACACTACATTATCTAATTCAGATGTTATCTTTTTGCATCAGCTGAACAGGAGGCCTGAATCAGCAGCACCCCCAATCTACAACCCTTCTCCTTCAGGAGAAATGCAGCCCTCTCCAGGACAGACTGACTTCTCAAGCAGCTTTTTCCATTGACCAAGGGCACTTCAGTGTTTATTTTACAGGTCCACGTCAGTTCCATTATGTTCTTGAAGGATTATGAAAGTATTGTTGCTGAATTTATTTCTATTAGACTGAATGTGTTGAATGGTGAATCAAGAAACAGTTGGGACTAAGGGGTTTAGTACAGGCACCACAGAGTTACTTTTTATACTGGGATTTTAGAATGAATGGAAGCGTACATTTTAAGTTCTATATAAAGTGTGATGCTTCTCATGCATTAGGGCTGCAATTGTACGAAATAGTTTGAAATGCTGCTGTTCTAGAACTACTCCTGTGAGATGTCTAGAGAATCAGGATTGTCCATGTTATGTCCTTTGGTTGGTCATTTATTTTGTGAAGATTAGAGTTACCCCAAGGTTTAGTTGGGAAATGTAATCCAGTGGTCTTCAACGTTTTAAGCCTGCAGGTACTTTTGGAATTCTGATGTAGAGTGATGAGCACAATCACAAAATGGCTGCCACAGAAGGCAAGCCAATCACAAAATGGCTGCCATGGATGGCAGAGCCAACCACAAAATGTCAGGGAGTGAAGCTATGCATAACTCTCATAGGAAATTCACAACATTTCACGCAGAAAATCTCTCTTTAACAGGATGTCTTTTAAAACCAACATTTTGTTTTCTTGCATACACACAGCTTGCCTTCAGTCATGCATTGAAGATCCTTGTGCTGTGGTAGCACCTGCTGCCAAAGCAATGTTTTTAAAGATCCGTGGCGCAGTCAGACAGATCTCCACCGGCCAGTTGTAAGCCATGCTGGGCAGAAGCCTTATCTGGCTCAACTGACTTTCTAAAAACATTGATGGATGTCATTGTACCTCTCGGAGCCTTGTTGGAGGGTCCTGGTATAGTCTCTTTGGGGAGAGAAGCATTTCACATATGCAAAATTGCCATGTCCAAAAACTTAATCTGCTGTACAGAGAAATTAAGGGGTACAAGTTGCAAGAGGCTTTTGATGATCCCCACTTCTATCAACTTTGGATATTCGGCTTTTAGAATATGCAGTAAATAAAACTAATGAAACAGACAGCCAAAAATCCAGTATGAATCTCTAACTGCAGAGTGTCTTGAATAAAATACTGTAGTAGTGCCCATATTAATAAATGCAACACATGTGTGTAACCCACAAAACGTAAATGTTCTCAAACAAATGCCATGAAGACATTGACCGAGGGCACCTCTGTTCATAACAGATGCATAAGGTGTGCAGTGAGCTAGCAGCCCTAATACCCCAGACCACCCTGAACTTGTCAGAGCTCAAATGCTAAATAGGGCCAGTAATTGGATGGGAAACCACCAAGGAAGCCAGTGGCAAACCATCTCTGCTTATTGCTTGTCTTGAAAACCCCATGACATGGAATTTCGGGGGGTCGCCATGAGTTGGCTGCAACTCGATGGCACACTTTCCTTAAAGCAGATTATAGTCACTGTATACGTTACATTGCTAATGAGCTCTTTTTGTGCAGCTCTAGTTTTTCCGTGCGTTCCGTGCGCCTTAGTGTTTAGTCATGCCGGCCACATGACCACGGAAACGTCTTCGGACAGCGCTGGCTCTTCGGCTTTGAAACAGAGATGAGCACCGCAACCCTACAGTCGGATTCGACTGGCTTTCGAGCAAGGGAACCTTTACCTTTACTAGTTTTTCTCAGCAGAGGTTGATTCTTAGAAAAAGGGAAATTGTCATCTGTAAAATCTCTGTCACCTTTCAAGATCTTCATGTAAGATGATTTCTTCCATTCTTCCATCCCTTGGGAAAAGAGGAGGGATGTGCCTAGTATCGAATTCAAAGTCAGCCTTCTCATTCCAAAGGAGTATACACTAGGCCATTTAAGACAGCCATAGTTGGGCACAGTGCCAGAGCATGTGCTTTCCATGCAGCAGGTCCTAGATGGCCTAGGTCCCTCCCCTAATATACCTTGGCACAACAGTTGCACTCATCTGAGCAAAACCTTCTGAAGTTCTTAACCCTAGAAATGGGTAAGAACTACAGTTGCTTCTACTAGAGCATGGCTCCCAGCTTGTGGAACAGCCCAACGAGGTCAGAAGAAATGCTACACTTGCATCATTTGACAGAAGGTGTCAATCAGAATTGTACAGGAGAGCAAAACAGAAGTGTGCAAGAGGACACTTTTTATATTGAGCACAGGGTTGTACCGTTCGCAGGGAGGGCGGGATAAAAATGCAATAAATAAATAAATTGTCTGAGAAAAACTTGAAGTAGTTTTGGTCTTTTCCCCTCTCTCCTCTTAACTGGGTTTAGTATACTAAGAGTAAGGCCCGTTGTGGGAAGAAACACAATAGCCTCTAGTAAGACGCTCTAGGTGAGTGTCCCGGCTGTGGTTGGTGGGATGGTGGAGAGAAGGGGAAAATAGAGGGAGGTGAGCCATGTGTATTTCCTTCTACTTAGCTATAAGGCAGGATTGTCTTGTATCATTTTGCTGCACCAAGTGGGTAGTATGGGAGGAGAGCCGCAAGGTAACAGGTATGGTTTCTTCCACCCCTGACTTATGTTGATTTGGGGCTATGCAGTGGCAGCTAAGGTAGAAAAGCACCTCCTCCTATGCCATGTTTTCTTGGAACCAAGGGTCTGGAAAGTGGTTCCATAGCCAGTTACAGTGATGCCAAATCTGGGTGGGGAAATACATGTAAATTTGAGGGGTAGAATTCGGGGAGGGCAGGGTTTGGGGTGGGGAGAGACTTAATCGGGGTATAATTCCATAGAGTCCACTGCCCAAAGCAGCCATTTTCTCCAGGAGAACTGATCTTGGAGATTTCCAGGTGCCGCCTGGAGGCTGGCAATACTAAGAGGAGGGCCAGACCTGTAGATTTGAGAGGTAGAGCCTGGGGAGGGCAGGGTTTGAGGTGGGGAGGGACCCCGACAGGGTATAATGCCATAGAGTCCACTGGCCAAAGCAGCCATTGTCTCCAGGAGAACTGATCTTGGTCATCTGGAGATCAGTTGTAATAGCTGTGAAATTTTCTTAGGAGAAATGATGTGCTGTAGCTGGGGAACACAGTGATTTTCAGGAGATCTCCAGGCCTCATAGGGAGATTGACAACTCTACTGAATTCTTAGGGAAAGTCTGGGAGATGTATTTTACTTCAGGACACATTCAAGGACTCCCAACAGTAACAGTAAACTGTTTAGAATGTTGGAGGTGAGGGCCAATCAGGCCACATATGCAGACAACCTCTGTGTTCCAACTGGCTGTGGGGGGAGAGAGGATGACATGCAGAATGGAGCAAGGCCCAATGAGCCCACGTATGTAAATGACCTTGAAAGGCTGGCCCAATTGGGTAGAAGGTGAATAGGCAGGCCAGGATCCAGCAGGTACCCCCAAGTTACCAATCTGCTTCTTCAGGTGGAGTGCAGCCTCCTCCAGGATAGGCTGACATCTCAGTCCTCAAGCAGATTTGTTATTGACCAACAGCATCTTAGTCTCATCTGGACTGAGCTTCAGTTTATCCTCCATCCATCCCATTACTGTCTTCAGGCACCTGGTAAGGACTTCTGCAGGCCCACCTCACTCAACTGTTAAGGAGATGCCATCTGTATATTGGTGGCATACTACTTCAGGTCCCCTAATTATCTTTACCAGTGGTTTCAGGTAGTTTTAGCTTGATCTTGCTAAATCCAGGTTGACATTTCATGACTAAATCCAGGTTGACATTTCATGACTAAAAATGCCACAAGTGTGGAGGGATGGCCTGTATGATGGATAGGGCCCTGTATCTTAAGCATGAAATATATATTTTACTTGTGGAATGAGGGATTGACATTTTCATTGGCTTGTTTGTACCAAAGATGCCAGTAAGGGTAAAACCAGACTGATCACAGGAGGTGGATTTTTGATGGTGGCAGTAGCCTCACTTCTGCCATCAGTTTCCCACCATTCACACTCCATCTAGGATCTGGAGATGATAACGCTCCTTCTTTCCTAATTCCTCAGGGGGCTTTAAATACAGTATGATAAAGTGCATTTTCAAGCACACTCTTGAGAGGTTGGGGGGGGGGGCAGACAGAGAAACACTGCAATAATAGGGGTGGTAAAGGTAAAGGTTCCCTTGCTCGAAAGCCAGTCGAATCTGACTCTAGGGTTGTGCTGCTCATCTCCGTTTCAAAGCCGAAGAGCCAGCGCTGTCCGAAGACATTTCCGTGGTCATGTGGCGGGCATGACTAAACACCAAGGCGCACGGAACGCTGTTACCTTCCCACTGAAGTAGTACCTATTTATCTACTTGCAATTTCTTGCTTTCAAACTGCTAGGTTGGCAGGAGCTGGAACTAGAGACGGGAGCTCACTCCGTCATGCGGCACACTCGGGTCTCAAACTGCTGAACTACCGACGTTCCACAGCCTGCAGTTCAGGGTCTTAACCACTTGAGCCACCGTGCTAGCAGACCTATAACCTCAGGAAGCATTCCTTGTTATGTCAATGCCGATTCATACACATCTCATTCTTCATGTTTGCATATTTTATTTCATGCAGGGTGACTTCACTTGGAACAGCATGTCAGGACGCAGTGTCCGTCTGAAGTCTGTTCCTGTTCAGAGCCTTTCAGAATTGGAACGTGCTCGGCTACAGGAAGTAGCATTTTATCAGTTGCAGCAGGACTGTGACCTAGGTTGTCAGATAACTATTCCTAAAGGTAAGACAAAAAATTATTTTCCTGATAGCAGTGTTGAAGAGAACTCTCAAGCTTACAAAATCGCAAGCGCAGGAAATGCAGTGTCTGTGTGTGTGTGTGTGTGTATTGTATAGTTATTTGTGGCTGTATTACAGTGGGTTGTGAGTTGTGGCTGGCAACATCATTTTTATGAAGCTGAAGATGATCCCAATATACTCACAATATATATGCAATAATGTGACAGAATATCACCCTGTAAATGAATGTTAGACACCCTCAAACAAGCTTGAAGGCCTACTCATTGAAGGCATTAACTTACTTGAAGGGGAAAATTAATGACAGACTGGTGCTGCTAAGAGTAGCCTTATAAATCGCTGTGGTAACAAGTGCACAAAAATGTATCATTAACCATCTTGAAAGTGTTTCTTGGGTGATGCGTTAAGGAAGGTACAAAAACCAAACTTTTTTTTTTCAGCTGCTAATGTGATTGGGGTAGATCCAACCTTTCTCCAGCCCAAGGAGCTTAACTCTGACTTAAGTTCTTATGGAATTAGATAAGCATATGGAGCAGAGGTCCATCAGTGGCTATTAGCCACAAGGTATAGCTAGGGGCTCTGGGGCAAGTGATGCTCTGTCTTCTTGGTGCTTGGGGGGGGGGGTCAACAGTGGGAGGGCTTCTAATGTCCTGGCCCCACTGCTGGACCTCCTGATGGCACTGGTATTTCTGGCCACTGTGTGACACAGAGTGTTGGACTGGATGGGCCTTTGGCCTGATCCAACATTGGCGTCTCTTATGTTCTTATGTTCTTATGTTCTTATGTTATGTTAAGTGCCTCTTCCTCCAGCAGAAGAGCCACTTCAGGAGGAGAAAGGCTCCTTCAGAATGAAAGAAGGCCTTAACCTTGCATCAACATGAAGGGTAGGGTAGGTTCCTCATCCTCTTGGAAAGGAGTGACAAGTGGAGTGCCTCAGGGTCTGTCCTGGGAGCTGTTTTGTTCAACATCTTTATTAATGATTTGGATGAAGGAATAGAGGGAATGCTTATAAAATTTGCAGATGGTACTAAATTGGGAGGGATAGCAAATACAGTAGAACACAGAGTGAAGATACAGAATGATCTTGACAGGCAGGAAAACTGGGCAAAACAAAATAAATTTTAACAGGGATAAATGTTACGTTTTGCATTTAGGTACGAAAAATCTAATACATAATAATAGGATGAATCAGCAGTGTGATACGGTAGCTAAAAAGACAAATGTGATTTTGGGGTGTATCCACAGAAGTATAGTATCCAGGTCACATAAAGTGATGGTATCACTTTACTCTGTTCTGGTTAGCCCTCACATAGAGTTCAGTTTTGGGCACCACAATTTAACAAGGATGTTGACAAGCTGTAATGTGCCCAGAGGAGGGCAATGAAGATGGTGAGGGGTCTGGAGACCAAGTCCTATGAGGAAAGGTTGAAGGAGCTGGGTATGTTTAGCCTGGAGAGGAGACGAGTGAGAGGTGATATGATAACCATCTTCAAATACTGGAAGGGCTGTCCAGAGGATGTTGCAGACTTGTTTTCTGTTGCCCCAGAAGGTCAGACCAGAACCAATGGGTTGAAATGAAATCAAAAGAGTTTTCAGCTAAGCATTAGGAAGAACTTCCTGACACAGTGGAATAGGCTTCCTTGGGAGGTGGTGGGCTCTCCTTCTTTGGAGGCTTTCAAACAGAGGCTAAATGGCCATCTGACAGCAATGCAGATTCTGTGAACTTAGGCAGAGCATGAGAGCGAGAGCAGGAAGGGTTGTATCAGTGCTTAGTTCTTGCGGTCCTTTCTTACATGCCCAGGGAAATGCCAATTGCCACTTTGGGGTCAGGAAGCCATTTTTCTCCAGGCCAATCTGGCCAGGAATCCTGGAGGGTTTTTCCCTCCTTCTCTGGCATACAGCAAGGATCACGGGGGGAGGGGGGTATTTGTGAATTCCCTGCCCTGTGCAAGGGATTGGACTAGATGATCCTGGAGGTCCCTTCCAACTCTATGATTCTATGATTTTAAGGAATAAACTTGGCTCAGAGCTAGTATTGCCAACCTCCAGGTGGCACCTGGAGATCTCCTGCTTTTACAGTTGGTCACCAGACAACCAAGATCAGTTACCCTGGAGAAAATGGCTGCTTCGGGGGGTGGACTCTATGGCATTATACCTTCTGAGGGTCCCACCCCTCCCAAATCCCACCTTCCCCAGCCTCCACCCCAAAATCTCCAGATATTTCCCAACCCAGAGCTAGCAACCCTATTTCAGAGGAGTGGTAGGAGTGGAATAAGATCTGCCCCATTATATAGCTCACAAAGCAGGGATTAGTTTCAACAGCAAGGGATTTTATTTTATTTTTTTACTCTTGAGGCCAGGTAGTTTTCCTGTTGAAATCTAGAGTTAGATAGCAAAGCCAAGCACCAGCTAAACACTTCTTCTAAATTTCTTAAAATACTTTACTACTTACTGCTCATCATTCCTCTGAACAGTAACATAAAGATTTTAGTAATGAAAGGCAGAACTTTACTACAAATAAACACAGTGAAAAATACTTTATTTAAAAGTAGCAGCTGTTCAATTTTTCTGTTTCAGGGAACATTCTAATGTCAAGTGTTGTCTGTGTTAATAGTTACTAGGGGTGTGCAAGAAACTTTTTTTGGTATTTTTGACTAGCCAATTGACTAATTTTGATTGAATGGCCAAATTTGCGGTTATTAGTATACCAAAGAATAAGCAATGCAATATTTAGAACCTTTGTATTGCTCTGCTCAGGTTTTTGCCAGTATGTTTCTGTTCAGCAATGAATTTGCTCTCTGATTTGCTTGTTTTGGCAAGAAATGGATTATGGGTTAAAGCTTTGTTTACATTGCTCTGTGTTGTATTTAATTACACATTAGTCTTCTGCATTGTGAGTGACCATGGTCTTTATCTCTGTGCTTTTTTGTAACCTTACTACTGATCATTTTTATTTAGACACTCTGTAGTGTAAGCATTTTTTCCTACAGTGTTGGAAAGCTCCAAAATAGATCTCTGCAGGTTAAAAGCTTCCTACTTTTAGTGCCACTTGGCTCCAGCTTTAAATTCATAAGGGACAGAAGATGGCATGTTTTCACCTTTTCTTTGTTCCCTTGCTTAGCCTGAATTGCTTGGTTGGAATGTGTGTATTATTTTATTAAACTCCCTTATATTTTAAATAGTCTAAGTTAGGATCCAAAAGGCTGGTCACCTTTTCTGCAACAGTAGGAGACCAAACAATTTTAGGCAGTCTATTCATCCCCAGAGATAGAGTGGAGGTAGTGCTTATCGGGCATGTCAGGGGATGCTGCAGTACTCTAAATTTAATCTCTGTAAAAACACCACATCTATTTGATCTTGCTATCTGAAGCAAGGTACTGAGCAGGGGCAGTGAAGAAGCTGTCCATCTCTGGAGCATAATAGCTTTAGAATGCAAAGTTGTGATAGATCTCCCTTGTGCTTGCTTGTTGAAGGGCAACAGGAGGCACAGCAACTAAGTGGGGGCTCTAACCACCCGAGGATATTCCTAAGAGTAATTTGGTGGTAGCTGATGGTTGCCGAGTTCGTAATTGGAACCCATCGGTTCCTTTGACCTCCTGGGGTCCAAACAGAAGGAACAATAATTTGGAGAGCAAATAGAACAACTTGTATAGAAGTCTCTAACAGTTCAATCCTAAAAAGAGTTATAGCCTTGTAAGTCCATTTACTTCAATTATTGCATGTGTTCTCTGTCAGGTGACTGATACTTGTGCTTCCTGAGACCCCTGGGGAATGTCTTGGGATAGCTCTTACATCACAATGATTAAGATGTAGAAAGTTCCCATTGACAGTCTTGGTCACATAAGATCTTGGGTATAGCTGTTCCACAGCTGTACTTTCTGTATCATACAAGCAAGTGGAATCATTTCCTTAAAATCTCATAATTGTTAGTTTTGGAAGATGGGCTCTATTGTCAAAATAGTTTCTGAATTGAATTCCCTATATCCTTCTGAAACTTTAATTATTAGACTTAAGTCTAATTTAATTATAAGTATAATTTAATTATAAAATTTAAGATTAGCTGTAATGTGCCTTCCCATTAAAACTGGACCAGGGGACCACCCATTCTCTAAGGGTGTATTCTTGTAAATCAACAGTGATTTGTATAAATCATCTCCATTATCAAAAGCTGCCTTCATTGGATTTTTGAAGGTCTGAACAGATTTCCTCTGAAATACCATGTCATTCAAGTATTCCTTTCAGGTTGGCAGTTACCAGTTTGCACACATTTCTGAAAGATGCTGAATTCTGTGTAGATAAATTGGTGTCTGTTTTCAACATGCCCTTTGGGGAACTGGTTATGGATTACCAGATCTAGTTGTTGTTGTGACATATTTAGGCAGGTGCAGTGGTTTTCTAACATATGTCTGTGTTCTGGTTAATCCTTATGTAATACATCATTGGGGACTTTTCAGTGCACAGAAAACCTCATGGATTGTCTGCAGTGTTTCTCTGTTGAGGCTACGAAGAATTTCCATCTGTGGCTATGAGTTCATGCCTACTAGTCTAGTAGTTTCTGATTATCAGATCACAAGTATAAGTCATAGCCAAGTCATATTCCACTACTTGGTTATTGTTCTTTTGATCCATAATGTCTAGGCATCCATTGCTTTGATAAAGCTGTAAGGGGCTTAGGAACTGTTTCCACATCCCGTGTCTGTGCATAATTAAATCCCACACAAGCAAATAACATACTGATTAGTATGTTCCCACTGGTTTCTGCATCGGTGAGAGATTTCCTTGAATGTGCCACTGTTAAGTGACACCCTTCATCTTCAGCCCTGGAGCCAGCATAGTGCAGTGGTTAGTGTTGGGCTAGGAACTGAGAGACCAGTGTTTGAATCCCTACTTTGCCATGCAAGTTTGCTGGGTGATCTTGGGTAAGTCAAGGTGGATAGCCGTACCCTGACCTGGATAGCCCTGGATATGATGAACAGCCGTGTTAGTCTGTCTGTAGCAATAGAAAAGAGTAAGAGACCAGTTGCACCTTAAAGACAAAAAAAATTGTGGCCATGATCTGAATATCGTGGCCTCTATTGTCAAAATAGTATTTTGCTTCAAATCTGAAGATGAGAGCAGTGACTTACGAAAGCTCATACCCTACTACAAATTCTGTTAGTCTGTAAGGTGCTATTGGATTCTTACTCTTTTCTGATACTTGGGTAAGTCACACATTTTCAGCTTAACCTATTGTGAAGGACAGGACACCGTCTTGCCCCTAGCTGTCAAACAACCAATCCCCTGTTAAAGCCTAAGCAAATCTGAATGCAGCAATCATAAAGCCGTACATATACTGCCATAGATTTGGGTTTAACTAGTTTATTTCAACTTATTCATGCTAATATTTAATTGAGGGCATGCCTTTGTTCTGTCCATGGCTGCCTTTGTTCTGGCAAATCCTTCCTTGGCTCCAAACTCGACCAGTGGCTACTGCCACCCGTGCTTATCCTTGTCCGCACACAGAATGCTGTGAAGTGCCCAGCCTTAAGCTGCTACCAGGATTGGGAAGACATTGCTCAGCACCAAAGGCACTCCTTCCCAAGCCCCATCCCGCCGTCCAGCAAGACAAAAATCTCTTCTGGGCCTCTCAGAGACCCATATAAGGTTGTAAAGTTTCCTCACAGACAATTTCACAATGGATTGTAATCCTCATTCAGGAGAGTGAAAAGGAAGCAGGCATCTCTTGTTGCCTCCAAATCACAGTCTATTCTACAGAGATCTCCTCTGCCTTCAAATCCAGAGTCTCTCTCCATGATATTTCCAGGGCAGCCACTTGTTCTACTCCCTCTTCTTTCATTAAACATTACACTATCAATGTGGACTCCAGAGGTGATGCAGTAGT